AAGAAGAGAGAGACACAGGGTTAAAGAGAGGGTGAGACAAAGAGAGAGAAGAGAGAGAGACAGGGTTAAAGAGAGGGTGAGACAGAGAGAGAAGAGAGAGACACAGGGTTAAAGAGAGGGTGAGACAGAGAGAAAGAAGAGAGAGACACAGGGTTAAAGAGAGGGTGAGACAGAGAGAGAAGAGAGAGACACAGGGTTAAAGAGAGGGTGAGACAGAGAGAGAGAAGAGAGAGACACAGGGTTAAAGAGAGGGTGAGACAGAGAGAGAGAAGAGAGAGACACAGGGTTAAAGAGAGGGTGAGACAGAGAGAAAGAGAAGAGAGAGACACAGGGTTAAAGAGAGGGTGAGACAAAGAGAGAGAAGAGAGAGACACAGGGTTAAAGAGAGGGTGAGACAGAGAGAGAGAAGAGAGAGACACAGGGTTAAAGAGAGGGTGAGACAAAGAGAGAGAAGAGAGAGACACAGGGTTAAGAGAGAGGGTGAGACAGAGAGAGAGAAGAGAGAGACACAGGGTTAAAGAGAGGGTGAAACAAAGAGAAAGAAGAGAGAGACACAGGGTTAAAGAGAGGGTGAGACAAAGAGAGAGAAGAGAGAGACACAGGGTTAAAGAGAGGGTGAGACAGAGAGAGAGAAGAGAGAGACACAGGGTTAAAGAGAGGGTGAGACAGAGAGAGAAATAACAGAGAGACAGTTTTAAAGAGAGGGTGAGAGAGAGAGAAAACAGAAACAGAGGGTTAAAGAGAGGGTGAGACAGAGAGAAAGAAGAGAGAGACACAGGGTTAAAGAGAGGGTGAGACAAAGAAAGAGAAGAGAGAGACACAGGGTTAAAGAGAGGGTGAGACAGAGAGAGAGAAGAGAGAGACACAGGGTTAAAGAGAGGGTGAGACAGAGAGAGAAATAACAGAGAGACAGTTTTAAAGAGAGGGTGAGAGAGAGAGAAAACAGAAACAGAGGGTTAAAGAGAGGGTGAGACAGAGAGAAAGAAGAGAGAGACACTGGGTTAAAGAGATGACAGAGGCAGACAGAGATAGAGAGAGAGAAAAAAAAGAGAACTGAGGAGAGCTAGAACACAGAGAGAGGAACTTTAAAGAGAGAAAAAGAGAGATGTGGAGAGACAAACAGAGAGAGTGAGAGGGTTAAAAAGAGAAAGAGTGTGGAGAGACAGAACACAGAGAAAGGGTTAAAGAAAAAGTGAGATAAACAGAGAGAGAGAGGGGGAGGGTGAAAGAACAGAGAGATGAAGATACTGGAAGATAGACAGATAAAGAGAGAGAGAGAGAGTGAGAATGGTGGGACAGAGAGAGAGAGAAAGAGAGGGTTAAAGAGATGACAGAGGCAGACAGAGATAGAGAGAGAGAAAAAAAAGAGAACTGAGGAGAGCTAGAACACAGAGAGAGGAACTTTAAAGAGAGAAAAAGAGAGATGTGGAGAGACAAACAGAGACAGAGGGAGAGAGAGAGAGACGGTAAAGAGAGAAACAAACAGAGAGAGAGAAAGAGAGAGACAGGGTTAATGGGATGAAAGAGGCAAAGATACAGAGAGAAAGAAAGAGAGCTAAGGAGAGATAGAACACAGAGAGGAACGATAAAGAGAGATGTGGAGAGACAAACAGAGAGAGAGGGTTAAAGAGAGAGAAAGAGAGAGAGTTAAAAAGAAAGAGGTGTGGAGAGACAGAACATAGATTAAGGGTTAAAGAGTGAGATAAACAGAGAGAGAGACAGAGGGTGAAGGAAAAGAGAGATGAAGATATTGGAAGATAGACAGATAAAGAGAGAGAGAGAAAGTGAGAATGGCAGGACAGAGAGAAAGAGCGAGAGAAAGAGATAGAAAGAGAGAAAGAGACGGTTAAAGAGATGACAGAGGCAGACAGAGATAGAGAGAGAGAAAAAAGAGAGCTGAGGAGAGATAGAACACAGAGAGAGAGAGATGGTAAAACAGAAACAGAGAGAGAGAAAGAGAGAAAAAGAGAGAGGGGGTTAAAGAGATGACAGAGGCAGAGAGAGAGAGAGAAAGAGAACTGAGGAGAGATAGAACACAGAGAGAGGAACTTTAAAGAGAGAAAAAGAGAGATGTGGAGAGACAAACACAGAGAAAGAGAGAGAGAGAGAGAGAGAGAGAGAGAGAGAGGGTTAATGAGATGAAAGAGGCAAAGAGACAGAGAGAAAGAAAGAGAGCTAAGGAGAGATAGAACACACAGAGAGAGGACAGTTAAAGAGAGAAAAAGAGATGTGGAGAGACAAACAGAGAGAGAGAGAGAGAGAGAGGGTTAAAGAGAGAGAGAGAGAGATGGTTAAAGAGAGAGAGGTGTGGAGAGACAGAACACAGTAAGGGTTAAAGAAAGAGTGAGATCAACAGAGAGAAACAGAGGGTGAAAGAGCAGAGAGATGAAGATATTGGAAGATAGACAGAGAAAGAGAGAGAGAAAGTGAGAATGGTAGGACAGAGAAAGAGAGAAAGAGAGAGAGAAAAAGAGAGAGAGAGAGAGAGAGAGAATGGTAGGACAGAGAAAGAGAAAAAGAGAGAAAGAGAAAGAGAGAGAGACAGAGGAGTGAGGAGGCTCTGAGCTGCTTCTCCTCATGTGGGACAGTTGGAGCACAAAGACGTGGCTCAGGTCCAGAGAGCAGAGTGTGAAGAAAGAAAGAAAGAACGAAAGAAAAGAGGAGGAGAGGAGGAGGAGGAAACAACAAACTCCATTCAACACACAAACTCCTGCCACTGCTACTACAGAGAGAAGAGTGTGAAGAGAGGAAGAAGAAGAGGAGGAGGAGGAGGAGGAGAGGAAACCGGACCGTTCAGTCTGCTTTACTTCACTCCTGTTTGTGTCTTTGACTGCAGCTCCTACGCTATTTGTGCTTTATTCCTCATCGTAAATCCCGGTTTAGTCCTGGTTTAGTCCCGGTTTAGTCCCGGTTTAGTCCTTGTTTTGGTCAGACCAGGACAGTGCGGTGGCGTGGGTCCAGAGAGCAGAAGTGTGAGAAAACATGACGAGCTGACGAAGTGAAGAGAGCCACTTCAAGCCAGAACGAAAGCAGGACTAAAGCAGGACTAAAACAGGACTAAAGCAGGACTAAAACAGGACTAAACAAGGACTAAAACAGGACTAAAACAGGACTAAACGGCAGGACTAAAGCAGGACTAAAACCAGGACTAAAACAGGACTAAAACAGCAGGACTAAACCAGGACTAAACAAGGACTAAAACAGGACTAAAACAGGACTAACAGCTAAAGGACTAAAGCAGGACTAAAACAGGACTAAAACAGGACTAAAACAGGACTAAAACAGGACTAAAACTAGGAGGACTAAAACAGGACTAAACTAAAACAGGACTAAAACGCAGGACTAAAACAGCAGGACTAAACAGGACTAGGACTAAAACAGGACTAAAACAGGACTAAAACAGGACTAGGACTAAAGCAGGACTAAAAACAGGAGCAGGACTAAAACAAAGGACTAAAGGACAGGACTAAAACAGGACTAAAACAGGACTAAAACAGGACTAAACAGGACTAAAAACAGGACTAAAAACAGGACTAAAAAGGGACTAAAGCAGGACTAAACCAGGACTAAAACAGGACTAAAACAGGACTAAAACAGGACTAAAACAAAACAGGACTAAAACAGGACTAAAACAGGACTAAAAAAAACAGGACTAAAACAGGACTAAAGGACAAAGTAAAGGACAATAAAAAGTCTTTAACAGTAATAAAACCAGGACTAAACCGGGTCTTTCCAAGGCTAAAAACCACCAAAACCATGACCAACGACTAAACCAGAACTAAACTCGAACTGAAACCAAACTAAGCCCAGACAAACCAGCCAAGGATTACTGGTTTAAAACTAGGTCTAAACCAGGACTAAAACAGTACTAAAACACAATGAAATACAAAGCTAAAGGAGGACTAAACCAGGTTTAAACCAGGACTAAACCAGGTTTAAATCAGGACAACATCAGATCTAAACTAAAACTAAAACGGGACTATACCAGGTGTAAACCAGGTCTAAACCAGGACTAAACCAGGACTAAACCAGGTCTAAACCAGGTCTAAACCAGGTCTAATCCAGGACTAAACCAGGACTAAACCAGGTCTAATCCAGGACTAAACCAGGACTAAACCAGGACTCCAGGTAAACCAGGATTAAACCAGGACTAAAACCAAAAACCAGGACTTAAACCAGGACTAAACCAGGACTAAACCAGGTCTAATCCAGGACTAAACCAGGACTAAACCAGGTCTAAAACCAGGACTAAACCAGGACTTAAACCAGGACTAAAACCAGGACTAAACCAGGACTACACCAGGACTAAACCAGGATTAAACCAGGACTAAACCAGGATAAACCAGGACTTAAACCAGGACTAATCCAGGACTAAAGCAGGACTAAACCAGGTCTAAACCAGGACTAAACCAGGATTAAACCAGGACTACACCAGGACTAAAACCAGGTCTAATCCAGGACTAAAGCAGGACTAAACCAGGACTTAAACCAGGACTACACAGGACTAAACCAGGTCTAATCCAGGACTAAAGCAGGACTAAACCACTTCTAAACCAGGATTAAACCAGGACTAAACCAGGACTAACAGGACTAAACAAACTAAACCAGGACTAAAACCAGGTCTAAACCAGGACTAAACCAGGACTAAACCAGGACTAACCAGNTTTATGAGGAGGGAACGACATTAGAACAGGACTTAAAGCTCACAGGAGTCAGTTTGTGTGTCATCTGTGACCTTTAACACGACGTCATCTTTAACTGAAAGCTCCAAAAAACAAAAAACAAAAAAAACACACGTCTTTTTTCCTCGGTGTAAGATTCACTTTGTTCATGTCGACAACACGATGGTGGACAGTGTGAGGGGTTTGTGAGACTCTGCGAACAGCTCGTGTGTGTTTGTGTTTCTCCGTCAAACCAAAGAGAAAAAGACCAGAACAACAACAACAACACAAACAACGACAAAGAGAGAGAGCTGAGGTTGTGCCTTTGAGCAAACGTACCGTAAGAGAGGGGCATGTCCAGGTCTCCCTGCCACGAACTCTCATCCACCGAGTGCTGAGCTGCGAGAGAGAGAAGAGAGAGACACAGGGTAAAGAGAGGGTGAGACAGAGAGAGAGAAAGAGAGAGACACAGGGTTAAAGAGAGGGTGAGACAAAGAGAGAGAAGAGAGAGACACAGGGTTAAAGAGAGGGTGAGACAGAGAGAGAAGAGAGAGACACAGGGTTAAAGAGAGGGTGAGACAGAGAGAGAAGAGAGAGAGACACAGGGTTAAAGAGAGGGTGAGACAGAGAGAGAGAAGAGAGAGACACAGGGTTAAAGAGAGGGTGAGACAGAGAGAGAAGAGAGAGACACAGGGTTAAAGAGAGAGGTGAGACAGAGAGAGAGAGAGAGAGAGAGACACAGGGTTAAAGAGAGGGTGAGACAAAGAGAAAGAAGAGAGAGACACAGGGTTAAAGAGAGGGTGAGACAGAGAGAGAAGAGAGAGACACAGGGTTAAAGAGAGGGGTGAGACAGAGAGAGAGAGAAGAGAGAGACACAGGGTTAAAGAGAGGGTGAGACAAAGAGAGAGAGAGAGAGAGAGAGACACAGGGTTAAAGAGAGGGTGAGACAGAGAGAGAGAAGAGAGAGACACAGGGTTAAAGAGAGGGTGAGACAGAGAGAGAGAAGAGAGAGAGAGACACAGGGTTAAAGAGAGGGTGAGACAGAGAGAGAAGAGAGAGACACAGGGTTAAAGAGAGGGTGAGACAGAGAGAGAGAAGAGAGACACAGGGTTAAAGAGAGGGTGAGACAGAGAGAGAGAAGAGAGAGACACAGGGTTAAAGAGAGGGTGAGACAGAGAGAAGAGAGAGAGAGACACAGGGTTAAAGAGAGGGTGAGACAAAGAGAGAGAGAGAGAGAGACACAGGGTTAAAGAGAGGGTGAGACAGAGAGAGAGAGAAGAGAGAGACACAGGGTTAAAGAGAGGGTGAGACAAAGAGAGAGAAGAGAGAGACACAGGGTTAAAGAGAGGGTGAGACAGAGAGAGAGAAGAGAGAGACACAGGGTTAAAGAGAGGGTGAAACAAAGAGAAAGAAGAGAGAGACACAGGGTTAAAGAGAGGGTGAGACAGAGAGAGAAGAGAGAGACACAGGGTTAAAGAGAGGGTGAGACAGAGAGAGAAGAAGAGAGAGACACAGGGTTAAAGAGAGGGTGAGACAGAGAGAGAAATAACAGAGAGACAGTTTTAAAGAGAGGGTGAGAGAGAGAGAAAACAGAAACAGAGGGTTAAAGAGAGGGTGAGACAGAGAGAGAAGAGAGAGACACAGGGTTAAAGAGAGGGTGAGACAAAGAAAGAGAAGAGAGAGAGACACAGGGTTAAAGAGAGGGTGAGACAGAGAGAGAGAAGAGAGAGAGACACAGGGTTAAAGAGAGGGTGAGACAGAGAGAGAAATAACAGAGAGACAGTTTTAAAGAGAGGGTGAGAGAGAGAGAAAACAGAGAACAGAGGGTTAAAGAGAGGGTGAGACAGAGAGAAAGAAGAGAGAGACACTGGGTTAAAGAGATGACAGAGGCAGACAGAGATAGAGAGAGAGAAAAAAAAGAGAACTGAGGAGAGCTAGAACACAGAGAGAGGAATGTTAAAGAGAGAAAAAGAGAGATGTGGGGAGACAAACAGAGAGAGTGAGAGGGTTAAAAAGAGAAAGAGAGTGTGGAGAGACAGAACACAGAGAAAGGGTTAAAGAAAAAGTGAGATAAACAGAGAGAGAGAGGGGGAGGGTGAAAGAACAGAGAGATGAAGATACTGGAAGATAGACAGATAAAAGAGAGAGAGAGAGAGTGAGAATGGTGGGACAGAGAGAGAGAGAGAGAGAAAGAGAGGGTTAAAGAGATGACAGAGGCAGACAGAGATAGAGAGAGAGAAAAAAAGAGAACTGAGGAGAGAGCTAGAACACAGAGAGAGGAACTTTAAAGAGAGAAAAAGAGAGATGTGGAGAGACAAACAGAGACAGAGAGAGAGAGAGAGAGAGACGGTTAAAGAGAGAAACAAACAGAGAGAAAGAGAGAGACAGGGTTAATGGGATGAAAGAGGCAAAGATACAGAGAGAAAGAAAGAGAGCTAAGGAGAGATATAGAACAGAGAGAGGAACGATAAAAAGAGAGATGTGGAGAGACAAACAGAGAGAGAGAGAGGGTTAAAGAGAGAGAAAGAGAGAGAGTTAAAAAGAAAGAGGTGTGGAGAGACAGAACATAGATTAAGGGTTAAAGAAAGAGTGAGATAAACAGAGAGAGAGACAGAGGGTGAAGGAAAAGAGAGATGAAGATATTGGAAGATAGACAGATAAAGAGAGAGAGAGAAAGTGAGAATGGCAGGACAGAGAGAAAGAGCGAGAGAAAGAGATAGAAAGAGAGAAAGAGATAGAAAGAGAGAAAGAGATAGAAAGAGAGAAAGAGACGGTTAAAGAGATGACAGAGGCAGACAGAGATAGAGAGAGAGAAAAAAGAGAGCTGAGGAGAGATAGAACACAGAGAGAGAGAGATGGTAAAACAGAAACAGAGAGAGAGAAAGAGAGGGTTAAAGAGAGAAAAAGAGAGAGGGGGTTAAAGAGATGACAGAGGCAGAGAGAGAGAGAGAGAGAAAGAGAACTGAGGAGAGATAGAACACAGAGAGAGGAACGTTAAAGAGAGAAAAGAGAGATGTGGAGAGACAAACAGAGAGAAAGAGAGAGAGAGAGAGAGAGAGAGAGAGAGAGAGAGGGTTAATGAGATGAAAGAGGCAAAGAGACAGAGAGAAAGAAAGAGAGCTAAGGAGAGATAGAACACACAGAGAGAGGACAGTTAAAGAGAGAAAAAGAGATGTGGAGAGACAAACAGAGAGAGAGAGAGAGAGAGGGTTAAAGAGAGAGAGAGAGAGATGGTTAAAGAGAGAGAGGTGTGGAGAGACAGAACACAGTAAGGGTTAAAGAAAGAGTGAGATCAACAGAGAGAAACAGAGGGTGAAAGAGCAGAGAGATGAAGATATTGGAAGATAGACAGAGAAAGAGAGAGAGAAAGTGAGAATGGTAGGACAGAGAAAGAGAGAAAGAGAGAGAGAAAAAGAGAGAGAGAGAGAGAGAGTGAGAATGGTAGGACAGAGAAAGAGAAAAAGAGAGAAAGAGAGAGAGAGAGAGAGACAGAGGAGTGAGGAGGCTCTGAGCTGCTTCTCCTCATGTGGGACAGTTGGAGCACAAAGACGTGGCTCAGGTCCAGAGAGCAGAGTGTGAAGAAAGAAAGAAAGAACGAAAAGAAAGAGGAGGAGAGGAGGAGGAGGAAACAACAAACTCCATTCAACACACAAACTCCTGCCACTGCTACTACAGAGAGAAGAGTGTGAAGAGAGGAAGAAGAGGAGGAGGAGGAGGAGGAGGAGAGGAAACCGGACCGTTCAGTCTACTCCAACAGTCTGCTTTACTTCACTCCTGTTTGTGTCTTTGACTGCAGCTCCTACGCTATTTGTGCTTTATTCCTCATCGTAAAATCCCGGTTTAGTCCCGGTTTAGTCCCGGTTTAGTCCCGGTTTTAGTCCTTGTTTTGGTCAGACCAGGACAGTGCGGTGGCGTGGGTCCAGAGAGCAGAAGTGTGAGAAAACATGACGAGCTGACGAAGTGAAGAGAGCCACTTCAAGCCAGAACGAAAGCAGGACTAAAGCAGGACTAAAACAGGACTAAAGCAGGACTAAACCAGGACTAAAGCAGGACTAAAACAGGACTAAAACAGGACTAAACAGGACTAAAGCAGGACTAAACCAGGACTAAAACAGGACTAAAGCAGGACTAAACCAGGACTCAAACAGGACTAAAACAGGACTAAAACAGGACTAACGCAGGACTAAAGCAGGACTAAACCAGGACTAAAACAGGACTAAACAGGACTAAAACCAGGACTAACTAAACAGGACTAAAACAGGACTAAACAGGACTAAACGCAGGACTAAAGCAGGACTAAACCAGGCAGGACTAAAACAGGACTAAAACAGGACTAAAAGCAGGCAGGACTAAAAGGACTAAACAGGACTAAACAGGACTAAAAACAGGACTAAAAGCAGGACTAAAAACCAGGACTAAAACAGGACTAAAACAGGACTAAAACAGGACTAAAGCAGGACTAAACAGGACTAAACAGGACTAAAGCAGGACTAAAACAGGACTAAAACAGGACTAAAACAGGACTAAACAGGACTAAAACAGGACTAAAACAGGACTAAACAGGACTAAACAGGACTAAAACAGGACTAAAACAGGACTAAAACAGGACTAAAACAGGACTAAAACAGGACTAAAGCAGGACAATAAAAAGACTTTAACAGTAATAAAACCAGGACTAAACCGGGTCTTTCCAAGGCTAAAAACCAAAACCATGACCAACGACTAAACCAGAACTAAACTCGAACTGAAACCAAACTAAGCCCAGACAAACCAGCCAAGGATTACTGGTTTAAAACTAGGTCTAAACCAGGACTAAAACAGGTACTAAATCAGGTCTCAACTATACTAAAACACAATGAATATACAAAGCTAAAAGGACTAAACCAGGATTAAACCAGGACTAAACCAGGTTTAAACCAGGACTAAACCAGGTTTAAATCAGGACAACATCAGATCTAAACTAAAACTAAAACGGGAACTATACCAGGTGTAAACCAGGTCTAAACCAGGATCCAGGACTAAACCAGGACTAAACCAGGTCTAAACCAGGACTAAACCAGGTCTAATCCAGGACTAAACCAGGACTACTAAACCAGGTCTAATCCAGGACTAAAACCAGGACTAAACCAGGTCTAACCAGGACTAAACCAGGACTAAACCAGGATTAAACCAGGACTAAACCAGGACTAAACCAGGTCTAAAACTAAACCAGGACTAAACCAGGACTAAACCAGGTCTAAACCAGGACTAAACCAGGACTAAACCAGGACTAAACCAGGACTAAACCAGGACTAGGACTAAACCAGGACTAAACCAGGACTAAACCAGGACTAAACCAGGACTAAACCAGGACTAACACCAAGGTCTAATCCAGGACTAAAGCAGGACTAAACCAGGAC